ATTCCTGCCCCAGAAATCCTCAGCTACCCAAAATCTGATAATTTTATAAAGGAAGCAAGGTCCGTCTTGGCTTCAAAATTAAGAAGCTAGGATAGTTCTCCTGCAACCAGGTAAAAACTAGGCTGAACTTTGTCCACCTGTGACTGATCTTGCTCTACCTTGCTGGCTTCCCCTCTCATCTCTGCTGAAAAACATATTTTGCAGTGGTACTGTGCACCAATTGGTTTTTCACATCTGGTCCGCAGCTGAGAAAAACTGCTGTGAAGCTGAACACGGGGTAGCTTAGAGCAAGGAGTTCTTTTTGCTTATGTAAGTTTAGTTGTTTTCATTTTAGTGGAGTTTGCAGCATGTATTTATGTTTAGAAAAAATATTTATAGGCCTCCAAACAATACAGAGGGTCTTGTCACATTTTTGAACGTATTTCCTTAATTATTCTTTATTTTTACTAATATATGTTAATAATTTCTCAAGAGATTACTAAATTCGGCGTGTTAAATGCGGAACCTGTAGTATTTACTCTGTGTAAACCGCAGTTGTTCCAGAGCACATCTGAAGGGGGAGCCCTTAAACTATTTTTGAAGACAGTAGGTATTTTGTGGTTATACCCTTACACGGAGGCAAGCTAAAAAGTTTTACAAACAATGAAGTTCCAAAACTTAAGAGGAAAAAAAATATAAGCTATCTTGAAATTTAATACCTTGGTATACCAAAAGGCAGATGTGATGTATCTTGAGTACTGGGGTTCTGCTTAATGTTCGTGTTGCTTATGCTTATTCTTGCCTTGCTTACTTTTAAAAGACGTACCACGCAGCGTAAGAATAAAAGCGACGAAACCATCTGCACTCGTTTTTACACTGTGCCCTTTCTGCTGCTGGGCTTCACTAGCGAGAGCTCTTTGTGCAGCATCACAGAACTTGGTGTCAATTTACAGGTACTTTTTTTCATAGCCTTCAGCAGCTAGTCGGTCATAGATCCACCCATAGACCTTCTTTACTGTAAACCAGCTATTCCCTGCCTCCTCTTCCTGCTAGCATTTCAGTCCAGAAGTCAAGGAGTTTGAAACGTAAGACTTCCTTGAACTTCTCTGGTAACAATCGACGTTTGGTCAAGACTGGAAACAATGCTTCGGGTGATTGTGGAATCTGCTACCAATATCCCTAAAACTAAGTTTGGGAAACCAGATCCTATTGTTTCTGTTATTTTTAAAGGTAAGGAAAACTGCCATAAATGTACTTGGGGAGGAAGTTTTCTGAAGGACAGTGTCCTATGTAAGTATTTGAAAATCTGTGAAAATATGTTTTCCTGAGGTTACATCTCATGTAACTTTAGGGAAGACACTTCAATTAGAGAGACATGAGTTACCTGAATGAAGGTTGAACTGGGTGGAGTGCATTGGTCTTTTCTGGCCAGCAGTGCTGCTGTTTCAGGATCGACATTTTACAGACATTTGCAAAGGCTTAGCCCTTTGCTTTAAAAACCCAAATCTAACTGCATAGATAAATCCACTTTTAATTATGGTATTGGAGATTAAGTTGTTGGTTTCCATCTGAAAAACAGAATTCCTCTGTCTTGATTACTTTGCACAGCCACTACTTTCCACTGCTCACTGTTACACCAATTTTTATTGTGACTGGTTTATGGTTGTTATTACCAGCATGTTGAAAAACTGTAGTACTGTTACTGAAGTTGTTTGATTTTGGGTTTTTTGTGGGGTTTGTTTTGTTTTGTTTTACAAAATGAATTGCACTTTAAAATTTTGCCTGTTGAGATAATTTCATTTAAAATAAAGATTTAGGAAGGAAATCACATTTTACACTTTCATTGCTCATTTTACACATATAGGAGAAGGAGTAAACTGTGCTAAAATTAGCATTTATATGTAAACCTGGTTGTATTTTACAGTATATTTTACCTGTTGCCATCATTTCCTCACTTGGCTAGACGAAAGGAACTTGATTTCAAGTGTTGTTTTATCTTTAAGGTGTAGAAACCTCCAGGCAATTTTGGATTATGTGACACAATAAATTGAACTGTGACAAACTGTCATCTTAATTCCTGGTTACCTGGTTTCCTGACTGTGCACTGAAATGGAAATGGTATTTCCTAATGTATGAAAAATCAGTGCAGGGGTTTGTCACCTGTAGAAACCAAATCTGAAATCATGACATTTTGCTGGAGTCTGGAAAAGGACAAGGCAGTGCATGCCCAGTATCTTAACTTCCAAAAGAAAAAGCTTTTGGATACTTAATTTCAGCATCAGAAAGATGTGATATCATTCTGTTTCTTTTCCTCCTTTTTCCAAGTTTGTTTTTTTACCCCTCTGTATGTTAGGGCAAGCGGCTGAGCCTGTCTCAGTAGCTTTTGGAACTTCCTAAAATAAGATTTTATTTGCCCTGCAAAAAGTACAGTTACTGGTGTATTGTACTTTCTCTGGTTTGTTCCATTTGTTTCTGCTGCTTCTTAAGCATTCATATTCTCTTTTAAGTTCCTTGTCTTTCTCTTTGCTGTCCTGTCACAGCTTTGCCTTTCTGTGTTATCTGTGTTCCTGCAGTTTCATACTCCAGTTGGTTTATGCCTTCGCTTCCTTAAGCCTTCAGTGTCTGTTTAATTCCAATTCCCTCTTGTAATTTTTTGTGCCTACTGTGTGCTCTGATGCAATTCAGTTTTACCTAGTAAATAGAAGTTACAGATTTATTTTTTCTTCTGTGTTGCTGGATTTGTTTCTCAGTCCTTCAGTCATCCAAACACAGAATTGGGCAACAGACTAAATTAGAGGAATGAGTTTATATTGATGCTTTATGGGCTATGACTGGGATTTTTAATGTTCACAAACATGCTTAACCATTGTCTTAAATTCAACTTCATAATTGTGACAGTTTTTAGTAGGAAATTTCTCATTATACCTGCCACTTCTTTTTATGTGGTTTTACTACATACCAACAGTCTCATTTTTTGCTTTCTGTCTGGAGTCATTCAAGGCAGCCAGAAAATATCAGGCTTTTGCCAGCTATTGAGCAGCTCTGATTTGATTTCTAAGTGGAGTACCTGGTTGCCAGGTGCAAGGACGTAGGGATCATGTCTGAAATATGTTGACCTTCTGGCTGTTTATGTTTGTAGATGTTTTTTATACACAGCCTGTTCCCCCTCACCCTGTTAGTATGTTGAGATGGGAAACCAGTCTTATTTTTGGGAACGTGTACGTCAAAGGGCAGAAATTTTTAACAGTAGTCCATAGCCACTGTAGCTCCTGGGGAACATAAAAAACACAACTGGGAGTTTTTTCCAAACTGGGAAGAACTCAGACATTTGCAGGACTTTGGCCATAGCCCTGCAGTACATTTTCCTGTTCTTGTTTGACTCTGCAATATTCTTGGAGAAGTCTTAGAGAACAGCACTCAATTGACAGAAAATTGCTGTGGAAGTTGACATTTCATTAAACGGTGTTTTGTTTGTTAGCTTTTTCAAACTTTAACTTACATAGCCATTGCTGATGTTGGGTTCAGTAATTTTAAGACTTCCATGGAAACACACAGTATCTCTTGGGATTAGACATTTACGGCTACGCTGGGGGAAAAAAGGCCATGATCCTACAACTATTAGTATGTAAATGACTCTGCAAACACTTTATATGTTAACACACATGCGTTAGTATAGTTTAATCTGTGTATAGAATAGAATTCATCAAATTTGTATAACTAAACTAGTTATAGGTTAGACAGTACAATTAGTAGTGACATATATTAGTTACATATTAAGAGGAAATAGGCAGCTGTTTCTGTTGTGATATCTTATATACTACAGAGGGGGTTTGTGCAAGCGTCTGACTTTTTTTTAGACATTTTTGTTCAGTCCAGTGGGATAGACCTTTTATTTACTTTAAGAACAACTCACTGTTCAAAGAGAACTACACCCTGAGAGTAAACGAGTATTGCTGTCTGGAGCTGGGTGCTGT